CTTTCCAGGTGATATCTCTATATCTCTATGGAAGCAGATTGCCCAGTCTTCCTTCTGAGGAGTGGCAGGTGGGTTTGAATCACCAGCCTTCTGGTTAGCAGTCAAATGCTGCCAGAGCTCCCATTAGCCATTAAAAAAAAAGAAAAACCCCAAAAAACAAACTCACTACATCGAGTTGGATCAAAACAATGAGCTATCATCTCACTCTTGCATTAATAGCCAAGTTCAACAAGATAGAAAACAACAAATTCTGGTGAGGGTGTGGAGAAATTGGAACTGTCATACACTGCTGGTGGAACTGTGAAATGATACTTTCACTATGGAAAATGGTATGACAATTCCTTAAAAAGTTGGAAACAGGAATACCATTTGATCCAGCAATCCCATTACTAGGTACACATCCTAAAAAAGTGAAGGCCAGGACACAAGTAGATATATGCATACCCATGTTCATTTCAGCACTACTCACAATAGCAAAGAGATGGAAAAGATCTAAGTGCCAGTCCATGGAGGACGGATAATCAAACTATGGCACATGCACACAACGAAATACTCTGCAACAGCAAAGAATAACGGAGAACCTGGGAAACACCTCATAATGTGGATGAACTTGGAGGACATTGTGCTGCGTGGAATAAATCAATCAGAGAAGGACAAACATTGTGTGAGTCCACTATTATAAACAGTCAAGGCAAGGTTTGCTCAGGGAAGGACACTTTCTTTTTTGGTTGTCAGGGGTGGGAGGGGAGGAGAGGGAAGGTTCCTAGCTATGTAAGAGATACCTGTTGATTTGGGTGAAGGGAAAGACAATCTATGAACAGTGGGTGACCAGCACAACAACACTAAGGAAAAGGAAGACATGGAGAGTGCACAAGAAGTACAGACAACAAAGGTCAATACTTTCACAGACACAATCCAGCCACACATTAATGTACAGGTGGGTACACAGGCAGACAGGCAAGATGACCAGGTGTGGGTGGGCGGAAGGGAATATAGCTATCCATGCGTAGGCTTGGGAGACATCTGCATGTGCTACAAGACTGTCCACACTAGAACAGAGCTACTGGGGCCAAGTGATGAAAACCTCTTAGCCACAACCAAACACCCTGAAGGAATGAGTCACTGGGCCTGCAGGCTCAGACCACGGGGACATCAAGCTCAAATGGCACAGCATACTACACAAACACATTGTTCTTCGTTCTACTTTGATGAGTAGTGACTGGGGTCATAAAAGCCTGCAAGCAGTCCTCTAAGATGCAATGGTTGGTCTCTCCTCATCACCAGTGAAGAAAATCAAAGACACATGGAAATGATTAGTCCAAGGGACTACTGGAGCATGGGAACCTCAGCCTGCATGACCCTGAGACCAGAAGAATAGATGGGGGCCGGCTACCAGGGCCAACCTCTTGGAAAGGCATAAAAACTGGAGATCCTGGATATAGTGGGAGAAAGATGTGGAACAAAACTCAAAATCTTAAAAATGACCAGGCTTACTGGTGTGATAGAGACTGGTGAAACCCCCATGACTATGGTCCCTGGAATTGAACGCACTCCCCTGGCTTCCAGCCAAACAAGAGACAGGCCTACAAGCTGAACACTTACACCAGGTAGTTGCCCTCCGTAGAACAATCAACCATGGGAGATCAGCAGGGCTGCATTTGCACAGGGAGAAAGCTCAGAGGGCAGGAATGCATAGGAAAGAAGGACACAGGGAAGAGTTACCCCAGGAAGAAGTAGGAAGGGAGCTGTTACGTCGTGGGGATTGTTGTCAATGTCGTATTTGGAGTGCCTTCTGACCTGAGGGGCTCATCTTCCGGCACTATATCAGACAATGTTTCAGGGCCATTCATCGAGTTTTCCAGTAACATATCAGATAATGTTTCACTGCTATTCATAAGGTTTTCACTGGCCAATTCTTTGAGAAGTGGATGACCTCATCCTTCTTCTGAGTCTGTCTTAGTCTGGAAGCTCTGCTGAAACCTGTCCACCATGGGTGACCCTGCTGGTATTTGAAATACCGGTGGCATAGCCTCCAGCCTCCCAGCAACACACAAGCCACCACAGTACGACAGACAAGTGGTGGGCTGTCAACATCACAAAACAAAACGTGTATGAACTGTTGAATGGAAAATGAATTTGCTCTGTAAACTTTCACCCAAATCACAGTACAAAGTTAAAAAAAGAATAAGGAGGAGAAATCAATAACACTGAAAACAGAGAATGAATAGAGATTATCAATTGTCATTATCAATGACACAAAAGCTTGGTTCTTTGAAAAAATCAGCAAAATTGACAAACCTCTAGAAAGACTGACAAAGGAAAAAAGACAAATTAGCCACCTCAGGAATGGCGGGAGCTGTCACTGCCGACTGTACACACACCAGAAGGATCATAAGGAAATAATGAGCAGCTCCACACATGTAATGTGGACAATTAGGATGGAAACCCTTCAGAAAGCTCAAGGCACCGTGACACTCGCTATGATGCAGATCACCCCACAGCCAGATGCTGAGCAGTCCCAACCCCCAAAGGGTCCTTCCTGGGAAAGACAACGTAGCCTTGGAGGCAAGGTGGCAGGCGGGATGGATAAGCAAGATGAGGAACTCTGCTGGCGAGGTGCCATCCAACACTCCCTCCCCCCAGCCACCCGCAGAAAGAATTCTCAGGGACACTGGAAAGGCTGGGCTCCCCAGAAGTGTGGGATGTGGAATGGGGCCTCAAGTCTATTTATTTGGATGCTGGTCACTTCATGGGCCTGGAGGATGTAGGGATACCTGATGGCACTTGCTTATGCAACCTCAATTGCTGTATGTGTTCGCAGCTTTGAACAGGACGGAATACAGTGGTGGAGGAAAGGATGCGGCCCCAGCTCTCGGGGAGCACAGGGCCCAGGACCGTGCTTTTCTCCATGTGGACTGTGTGTATCAGAGCCAGCTGGAAATGTGTTTAACAGACCTCAGGGCCCACCCATGTTGTCTACCCGGTCCTAAGGAAAGCCGCATGGAAATGCAAAAAGCTAAAATTGAATAACATTTTTTTAAAAACTTCAAAAAACATGCTGTATGATTCGATATACCAAAACTAGACAACCCTTTCCAGCAACTTAGCTTCTCAAGGGTAGCACCAAACCAAGTGCGGTGGAGTTGAGACCCTCTGCTGTTGGCGACCGGGAAGCTCTGTTTTCCACAGCAGTGATTCTCATACCGTTCAAATTTCGGAACATCCATTGAAAATGACGCATGTAGCTTTTACAACTGCACTGCCACTCCCACTGTCTTACGCATCCACAATTCTGAAAAGGAAAATGAAAAGAAATTCAAGGAAGGAGGAAAAATGGCCTTCGGAAGTGAGGGTTTTAAAGACCTTTCACAATGACAGCATAGTGGCTAAAGCACTTGACTGCTAACCAGAAGGCTGGCGGTTCAAACCCACCAGCCACTCCTCGGAAGTAAGGTTGGGCAATCCTACTTCCGTAGTGATACTGCCTCGGAAACCCAAGGAGGGGTCGCTATGAGTCGGGGCACATAACAACAACAACAACAACAACACAATGACAGGCGTGGAATGAACGAAATCCCAGTAAAGCCCCCCAGGGCCAACTGTAAGCTCTGGTGGCACACTGGTTATGTACTTGGCTGCAAACCAAATGTTGGCGGTTCAAATCCACACCTGCTCTGCTGGAGACATGCCACAGTCAGCTTCCATGAAGACTGACAGACTTGGAAACCCTGTGGGCAGTTCCACTCTGTCCTCTAGGGGCGCTGTGGGTCAGAATGGACTCCAGGCAGTGGGTGTGGTTTGGGCTTTGCTTCTGTGAAGATTGACAGCCTGGGACACCCTGTGGGCAGTTACACTCTGTCCTCTAGGGGCTCTGTGAGTCGGAATCCACTCCAGGCAGTGGGTTTGGTTTGGGCTTGCCTAAGACTGGTGGCGTAGTGCCTAATACACTTGACTGCTCACCAGAAGGCTGGCACTTCAAACCCACCAGCCACTCCTCGGAAGGAAGATGAGGCAACCTACTTCCATAGTGATACTGCCTCGGAAACCTAAGGAGGGTCCCTATGAGGTGGGTCTGACTCGAGGGCACATAACAACAACAACAACAACAACAACATGGCATTTGACTGCTAACCAGAAGGCTGCTGGTTCAAACCCACCAGGCACTCCTCGGAAGGAAGGTTGGGCAATCTACTTCAGTAGTGATACTGACTCAGAAACCCAAGGAGGGGTCGCTAGGAGTCGGATCCAACTCAAAGGGAGTGAGTTTGGTTTTTTGGTTTTGCTTCCCTGGAGATTGACAGCCTCGGAAACCCTTTGGGGCTGTTCCCTTCTATCGTCTAAGGTAGCTATGATTTGGAATCAACTCCACCGCACTTGGTTTGGTGCTACCCTTGAGAAGCTAAGTTGCTGGAAAGGGTTGTCTAGTTTTGGTATATCGAATCATACAGCATGTTTTTTGAAGTTTTTAAAAAAATGTTATTCAATTTTAGCTTTTTGCATTTCCATGCGGCTTTCCTTAGGACCGGGTAGACAACATTTACGTATCTGTAAAGGTTTGCGGATTCTTTGGCCTCCGTTAAATGGCAACCCTGCAAATGTTCTCAGAAGAGATGCCAGCAGATCCCAGCCCCTGCACACCGGGCCAGGCCCTTAACTGCAGGCGTCAGCGTCCGCTGCCGGTGCTAACGACGCGGCCCGCCCAGCGCCAAGAGGCCGATTAGAACTCTGAGCAGGCGGTGACCCCGGAAGGGAGGCGGGCCCTGGGAGGGCAACTTCGCACAGGGAGACGGACCTGCACGGATGACCAGGGCGGGAAGGGGGGAACTGAGAAGAAGCCCCGAGTCCAGCGACTGCACCTGAGAGGGATACCCCACTTATTGCCCGGAACACTCCAGACAGGCGCCACGCGGACACCCCTCCGTGACGTCACGAGCGCGCGCCGGCAGTAGGCTAGGACCCCGTCGCGACCGCGTCCCCTCGGTCCTTGAGCCTGTGCGGAGCGGCTCGCCATGGCCTTGAGGCTCCTGAGACTGGTCCCCGCGTCCGCGTGCGCGCGGGGCCTCGCCGCGGGCACCCAGCGCGTGGTGAGGGCCCGGCGGCGGGCCGGGGTCCTGGCGGGGTCCTTCCTCCTCTCCTTGGGCCACTCTGCGACCCCCACTCTCCCGGGATTTTGGGTCTTGAGTCGCGGGCTGAGCTCGGAGGGGTGGCGAGCGTCTCCCAGCTGGAGGCCGAGCGCTGGGGCACCGAGGTGACTGGTCACCTGCCGACCCTGGTTTGGGAGACGGTCGGGGTTGTGGCTGCAGTATCCTGATGCGGTTGTCGCCCTGGGCGTCGGAGCAGGTGTGACGTGACCCAGAAGGGGCTCCGTGCTCGTTCCGTCCTCACTCCTGTAGCGTCAGTTCAGGGCCAGGCCCTGCGAGGCGCCGGAGTAATTGGACATTATGCATAAGCAGGAGAGAACCCTTTTGGGTCCGATTTGGGAGGTTTGGGAGGCGTCCCTGGGGCAGAGAATTCCGCGGTGCCGTTCCCTGTGATGGGGACGGGGGAAGCAACGGCCCTGTCATTGGGAGCATTGAGGAAAGCTGACAGGCCCGGGAGTGGCTGTGTAGTAAGTTCTGTGCTTGTGGTTGGAGCCATGTTGGTGTCAAATTGTAAAGGGATTTGACCTCTATGCTCAGCATTTTGGTCAATGAAGGATTCTGAACAGGAGAGTGTCAGGGTATTAAAGTGTCATACACTGCTTCACAAAGGTCACAGACCCCGCGGGGCGGCTGCCCACTGCCCGCCCGGGTTGCCATGGCTTGGAGTCCGAGTCAGCTGGCTAAGTCTTGTGAGGAGGCAGGATATCTGAAGGCAAGAGAGAAATGGGACAGGAAGGTGATCGGGTCTGTTTAATATGCTGTCACTTTAGTGGGTGCTCAGTGTTCCGTGGGCGCTCTGTGGCACCAGCCACCCTGTGGGAGAAAGATGAGGCAGTCTGGTTCTGCAAAGATTGACAGCCTGGGGCCGTTCTCCTTTGTCGTACAGGGTCACTGAGTCGGATCGACTCGATGGTGGTAGGGTTTGGTTTAGAATTCCATGGAGCCCCACGGTGGTACACAGGGTAATGCATGCGGCTCTTTTCTGTCCAGTCCACCCAGACATGCCTTGGAAGAAAGGTCTGGCTTCCGCAGCTGCTTGTGAAGCATCAACCATTGAGAAGCCTGTGGGACACAGTTTAGCTGACATACGGGCTCACCAAGGGTTGGAACTGACAATGGCAGCTGGTAGTGTTCCATACTGTGGATAGCCCTTGATCTTCCAAAACTACTCCTGTGATGTTGCACAGTAAGGGTTTCTGTTGATGTGTTTCATATGGAAAGCACATTGCGTTGGGCCTCCTGGTCAGTCACCCACTCGCTTCCCTGCAGAGAGATTCCTGGTTCCTATGGCCCAGGGCCCTCTGGGTTTACATCACACTGAGTGATCTACAAGGGGACTCTTGTCCACCCAGCGCTGCACATCATCCTGAGGAAATGCAGTCCCTCCTGGTTGATCCATGAACAAAGTGCTTGCTCCTTGCCAGCAGTTGTTTGTCGGTTAGTTTTTGTAGCAAAGTTGTACCATTTTCATTTGGCTGTTGGCTAATTTCATCCTTTTTCAGTAGTTGTGGCTTCCTCTTCAGTTTTTTTATAGATCTCTAAGACTTTTGCAGGAGTTCTGGTAGCATAGTGCCTAAGGTACTTGACTGCTAACCAGAAGGCTGGCGGTTCAAACCCACCAGCCACTCCTCGGAAGGAAGGTTGGGCAATCTACTTCCGTAGTGATACTGCCTCAGCAACCCAAGGAGGGGTCGCTATGAGTCGGGTCCGACTTGACGGCACATAACAACAACAACAACAAGACTTTTGCAACATTAGGCTGCATTGTCACTGTCACGTATGTTGGAAATACTTGTCAGTTGTTTGCCTTTTGATTGTGATTTTTTTTTTTTTTTAAACTGTTTATGAATTCTTAGGAAGGAGCTCTGGTGGCATAGTCCCTAAGGCATGTGACTGCTAATCAGAAGGTTGGCAGTTCAAACCCACCAGTCACTCCGTGGAAGGAAGACCAGCCAATCCTCTTCTGTAAAGATTTGCTGCCTCAGAAACCCGGTGCAGGTCACTATGAGTCAGAATCGACTCCATGGCAGTGAGTGTGGTTTTTGGTTTCTGAGGAAGGATGTGTTTTGGGAAGGGGTTTAAAGCGATGCAGCAGCCTTCTCATTCTAGAATAGGGAGACTCTGGCTTAGGCCGGGGGCGGGGGTGGTTAGGGAAGGGACGCTGTGCTCTGCCCATTGAAGAGTTAGCATCAGTGGTGTTTGAGTGATTGTGGAACTGGAAGGAGGAAAATCTCAAAGATGACTCTCCTATTTGCTGTTTGCTGCTGGATAGTGGATTGGGAGCTCTGGTGGCATAGTGCTTAAAGCATTTGACAGCTGACCAGAAAGCTGGTGGTTCAAACCCATCAGCTACTCTTCGGAAGGAAGCCTGGGCAATCTACCTCTGTAGGGATAAAAAAAAAAAAAAAAAAAAACCACCTCATTGCCATTGAGTTGATTTGACTCATAGCAACCCCTCCTTGGGTTTGCAAGGGAGTATCTCTACAGATTGACTACATCTGTGACAAGAGGTGATGGAAAACTCAATATCTTCAGCCAAAACCGTGCCAGGAGCTGATTGTGGAACAGACTATCAACTGCTCATATGCAAGTTCAACTTGAAGGTAAAGACGATTGAAACAAGTCCATGAGAGCCAAAATATGATCTAGAATATATCCCTCCTGAATTTAGGGACCATCTAAAGAATAGATTTGATGCATTGAACACCAGTGACTGGAAACCAGATGAATTGTGGGATGACATGAAGAGCATCATCCATGAAGAAAGCAAGAAATCACTAAAAAGACAACAAAAGAAGAGAAGACCAAAATGGATGACAGAAGAGACTCTTGAGCGAAGAGTAGCTAAAGCAAATGGAAGAAATGACAAGATAAAAGAATTGAACCGAAGATTTCAAAGAGCAGCTTGAGAAGACAAAGCCAATTACTATAATGAAATATATAAAGACCTGGAGTTAGAAAATCAAAAGGGAAGAACAGGCTTGGCATTTCTCAAACTGAAAGAATTGAGGAAAAAAATTAA